CAGGCTACTGGTATCTGCAAATGGCAAAAAGAGTAGGACTAAGAGCTGGAAGACTCTAATCTGGTACTTTGTGTATTGCACAATTATCTCACTGGATTTGGAAGGGTATGGATATCAATAATACTGACCATGGATATGAGGTCACAACTGCCATGGTAGTCTTTTGGCATGGCTCACATGTTGGAGTGGGAGATGTTCTAGAATGGTACAGTGTGTAAAAGGAAGAAATGGTTGAGCCACCTAGGGATGAAAACGTCCAGATGGTGTTGATTACACATAGGACTGGAAAAAGGATGAAGGGTTTGCTTCAGGGACTCATCACACCATTCATATCACTGTGGAAAGAGAACAGCAATGCTGGTAGAGAACACCTGAGTCTGGCAGGTCAGGGGTAGAGAAGGGACCATAAACTGCTCTTACATTAAATGTCTCTGGAAGTATGCAAGGAAAAGGATGAAGATGGGAATATGTTCTTACTCTTGTAATTACAGAATTTTGAACCATGGGACTATTTTACATATTTTAAAAATATTAAAAACTTAAAAATTTAAAAATTAACATTCTCAGCCATAAAGCTAGGTGCTTTCTAGTAAGGATCTAGACTATAAAAACATGGTAAAAACAACTGACATTTTCTTTTAATAGTGCTAAACACCTTAATCCATACTATTTTCTAGTATGAAAATAGTTTTAGGAATGTATATGTACAAGAATAGGGCAAGCTATTAAGTTAACTTTATTTTTATTTAATATAACTGATGTAGTTACCAGACAAATATATCTTAATGTAACAAAAAGTTATAATTGATGTTCATCATCTATAATATAAAGAATTTCAACATTTTAGTATAGCCAAAGACAATATTTGAATTTTACCCATTTCTGAAATGTAAAATGCACAATTATAATATCCATACTACAGGTCTTACGATTTTAAAGTTTTAGCTAAAACATGAGTCTCTGTAGATAAAAGCAAGAATTCTTTTATACCTAAAACAAATAAAATGTGTTACTAATAAAGTGCCACTGGATTAAACAATGCCATTTCAACTATTTCCTTTTTGGAGAGAACACAGGTACATAATAGTACGGAACTAGTCATTTTCATTATACTAGCATAGAACTAGTAATTTGCATTATATTTTATAACAAGCACAAGAGTGCTTATTTATTAGGTATTAACCATAATAATTCCTCTCAAGAAAGATCATAACTATGACTTATGACAAGCTGTACAGTCATCACTGAATATAGTTTAATGTCTAGAGTTTTTAAAAAATATAATCTCAAACTAAGATAAATCTAAGTCTACCAATGCCAAGAAATAGTTTTAGGGACTTCATATAAATAAAAGAATCTTTCTCTCAATTGTAAAATAGGGGTTTCACCCAATTCTAAGGCGAGAGGAAGAGTGGTGGTTGGTAAAGTTTGGCAACAAGTATGTTTCTAGCAGGTGAAAGCCTGATATGCATTGCTATAAGATGCATCTTTCACATAAGGAAAACATGCTAATTAGATGTAGGCAGCACTTTTCAGGCACTTGACCTCACTTGGTACTTAAGTTGATGTCCAGATGTATACTTAATGGAGAAACATTATATAGTGACTTCAAGTCATGTTCTCACAGAACATCTGTGTTCCATAAGCTAAATCCAAATGTTCCCTACTAAAATCAAATAATGATGCCATATATCCAATTCAGGGGAAAAAATTTAATAGATTAAAGTTAATAGATTGAATTTTCTCAATTTTAAGATTTTTCCACAATAAATTTTTCATAGCCTTTGTTGTCTATACTTGTCTGAATGCTAGGAGAAAAAAAGGCTTAAAAACTATAAAATATTATGCCTAAGTTAGAAAATTTTGAACTGTTGATCAGTTCAGTATAACATACAGTTTATGGAAATATGCTTATAGTTTGCTCTTATACTGCTTAAGAGCCACATTTTCTCATAGTAAATTTGTTTCCAGTTCATATTATAGAATTCAGTATGTAAACATTTTCATGTACACAAAAGAGCATTATGAATTTTTGATCTGTTGTCCCTAAATATGTTTGAGAACCACTACATCTTTGTCTGGCTCTAAAAACTACCTTTGGGGTCATGCCAAAGGAATGCTTTCAGATACATCATTAAGGTTTGAGTTCTAAGGTAAGACTACCAAATGCTATTCTAAAATGAAAAAAATATGGCAAGATTCCAGTATAGATGTTACCAATGTTCCCATTTTTTTTCTTTAATACTTAGCATATAGGTTAAGTATGTTGATGTTAAGGATTTTTTTATTTGCATGTATCATTGTATTACAACTTGGGAAAATTTTGCAATATACTTTCAGGCAGTTAGCTTCAAAATAATGCAACTTCAGCTCTTAGCACAAACAGCCCTGAGAACAATGCATTCAAATTACAGCTCAACTAGAAATAATCTAATTGAGAAACTTTGAAGTTACAAAAACAAATTCTGGAAAAGTTGTAAATTAAAAAAAAAAGTTACCAACATTTGAGGCACTACCAGACTACAGTACTTTTAAGAGTTGGAAGGACTTTGTAAAAAGAATAAACATACAAAGCTATGTGTGCATATGCACACACTCACATTGTGCTATAATGAAAAATTGTGTCCCCAAATTTTATAGCCTAAACATTTTATTATAGCATCTCCTATTGAAGATATCATGCTCTGGCTGCAGTAGAGTTTTGGTAATCATTATAAAGCACTGGTACAGAATTTTGTACCATAAATGGTAACGGATTCAAGAGCTTGGTTAGCAACAATTTCAAGTGACAGACAGCCCTTGGAGGGGAGAATGAAAGAAACATCATAATTATGTTTATGATGCAAATGCTAAGTCAAAGTAGCAATGATTTGATCTATTTCAGAGGGTATACAACTTTGTAGTAGCAAATAAGATATAACAAAGTCTTCACAGTAGAAATAAAATACTTTGCTCTAGAAAGAAACAAATATTCCATTTGTTTATATTGTATATAAATTGGTGAAATGGCTGCAGACAAAAATGGTGTATCATTGTATAATCTATCAACAGGACAGTCTACACTCTATACATGGTAACCTGTGATATTTAACATTTGCTACAGAAAAGTACAACAAATACTAGAAGTCAACTTTTAATATTTCTGATGTCAAAAAAGAATGAAGTCACTTCTGTTCTATGTTAAAAAATATGTTTACCTGCTTCCTTTTAATATAATTTATAAAGCTTTACTAAAGGAAATATTTTATTCTAGAGAAACATGTATTGACTTATGTGAAAATAAACAGTCCCATATCTTTAAAATCTATACTTATAATTATATATCAGAAGAGTATTTACACTTCATTATAGTACTTAAAATATTTACGCATAAAAGCTTTTGCCATTCAAGGTATGAAGATAGAGATGCATTATTATAATTTACATATGTTTACCTCACAATTGAAAATGTATTTATGTGAAGTTTGACAAGTTAGGAACAACAACAAGGGCATGCTAATCCAGAATTCATAGTAAACTAGAACACTAATATGGTTAACCGGGGTCATATGAGTGACCAGCAAGTAGCACAGATTGAGAACTTCCCGGGATTCCTGTGGGTAACAATGCAACCAGCAACAAGTAAAACACACAGTACAGAGTACTAAAAAACTAGAGCAGTATGCAGTAGATATTTAAATGGAATACTGGAAAGAATTTGGCCTAATTCCTAATTGTGCTTTAGATGGGCAAAAACTAAAATGTTACACTAAAATTATTAACTACAATCTCAGTATTTCTTGTGCTTTAGAACTCTCCTTGCATTTCTTGTTCCTTTTCCAAATGCGTTTGCTGAGGCGAATACAAGATTTAAAAATGTGCACAAATTAAGTAACTAAAACCTTTGGGATCTTCTATTCCTACTGCTATATTCAGTCACTGATTAGATCAGTTACAGCATCATATGTGTTTTCCTCTAGATGATAGAAACAAAGGCCTTTCAGAGATCAAGGGATGATGGGAAAGGTCTCATACTTAGTCTTAGAGAATGAAGGTATTATTGAAGTAATGATTTTGTTCTAAGTTTCATTTCAATATGATTGTTATTAAGTCAAAGATCCTCACAAACCCTGTGACCATGTCCAGAGTCCTGGAAATAAGATATATATGATCCAAAAGACTAAAGAGAAATGTAGCTGTGTCTCCTAGAATAGTTTTTAAAATAATTCGGTTTGCAGAACTCTTTCCTAGTTATGTTTCATACCAGTAACTGAATTAAGTACATAACAATCAGAAAAAATACATGTACTTCTTAAAATAAGTAAAATAATACTTATCACGTAAAGTAACTCTTCTTCCATGATTTACTTTCATTTCACTTTAGAAAAAGTATACATAAATTTAACAAATGTTCCAAATCAATTTAAAGTAAGAATTTCCAGTTTTTGTCTGACAACTAAATATTTTAATGTCAAAAAAAATCTCCTTAAAAATGGTTGGAAAGGAGGGACTACTATAAATACCAACAATTTATTCAATGTAAGTAATAAAAAGCACTGCATCGTACCCTAGAAAGCAACTCACTCCTTTAAATACAGAGAGAGAACAAAAGGGAAAAGCAAAAACATAACTAGAAACTTCCTATTTTTATGCCGATTACACAGGCCTCCAGTAAAGACCTATAGCTCTAACCAACACCTGTGCCACTGTCCCTTGCAGACTCCTTTACAATCTGACTAGCTAAGAATAGTCACCCGACAGTTCAATGCCTCCCTGTCAACCACAAGCAGGTATCAAAATTACTACCTAGAAGGTTATGTTTAGTCCTCCAACAATTTGGCAAAGAAAAGTATGACTGAGGTAATACAGGTAATACAGGTGGCTGCACATGCCTATTAAGATAACCGACACTTTTTGATAACATGATTTCTGTTTAAGGATTTGTTCTTGCCATACACTCTGAAGCTGTGACAATTCCAATCCATAATCTACTTATTCTCTATTAAGTCTGACATTATTACAGAGCAATTCAACTTAAATGTGGTACTGCAATACCACTAGATGCTACATTGTCTGATTTAAAACCCTGGTTTATTATCAACTAAAATTCAGGAATGATTTGCTCAGACAAATCATATCTGCTAAAGCCATCTTATCTGTTTCTTGGACTCACTGAAAACACAACAAAGTTATAAGGAAGACACCTACAAAATTAAAAAAACCCAGAATTACACAGCTTGATTATTTTAAATTACCAATTGCCTGCAAAACTCAGTACAATTATTTCAAAACAATTAAAAAAGAAATGAGGTTGCTTATGAAGGCCATAGCTTTGGTGACAACTTAGAACCAAACTTTAGATCTGTGGTTGATCCAGACCTAAACATTTTGCTCATGCCTGATGTTCCCATTTATTTGCAGGGCTTTATGGCTACAGCATATTCTTCACTCATTGCACACATAACAGACACCTAGAAGGGAAAAATGCAGGCAAAAAGTTATTCAGAAAGCAATACATATATAAGATATTTAATTTATTATATACTGGATATTTGTGGATATTTTATACACATTGACTTTGGAAAGAGGTATCCTAAGTCCAGATAATCTACTTTCTTTATAGTTTTCTGAAGTAAAATTTCTCAAATTGTGGTTTTTAAGATAACTTCCAGGGAACAGGGAAAAAAGAGCTATAAATGTCTCAATACTTATTAGATATTATACTTCTGAGAGTTATAACAGAGTAAATCACCTTCATGCTTTAGTATTCCCATAACATCCTTTCTCATACTTAATAGCTCATATGCTGATCTTCAAAACAAATTTGGGGCTGGCAGTGTCTACCTAGCAAAAAGTGAACTTTGATACTTTCTTTGGTAATGGGTCTCTAAGGGTATCATGGGAAAACTGTCTTATAGAGATCATTCTCAATTTCAGCAGTATTTAAGAACTACATTTCATAGTTGGCATTTTTTGCTAACTAGATTAGGACAAAGTTTTTATAAAAAGCAATCTTCTCATAGGTCTTTACCTGTACATCTTCACCTGCATTGTATTTTCCTTCTATTTCTTTACCTAGTTCACCTTCTGGCAGCTTAAGATCCTCACGAACTTCACCAGTTTCTGTCAGCAGGGAAAGGTAACCATCCTGAATGCATATTAGCTATTAAAAGAAATTATATCATTTGTACTGATTAGACTATATTCACTCTTTGTAATATTTACATAGTTCAGTTGCAATCCACATTAATTTGTACAGCTACACAGTAATACATTAATATACTCTTAGAGCTTAAAAATGCTAAACATACAAAAGTATAAAAGACGTATAGACTAAAAGTGTAAGTTCACTTCCTCCTGCACACCACCATCCCCCAAATCTATATACATAGTATGTCCTGAAGAATTCACATTTATGTACACAATACAAATATAGTTGCTTTAAAAAAAATAAATGGGAATCTAAAGTGATTCCCTTTCCAAGGGGCCTGCTCGTGCCCCTCTTCAGGAAAGTAGCAACTTGGAATAAATCTGGCATGCCTTAGGTTGTTGGGGGAGAGGGGATGTTTTTCCCTTTGCCTTCCTTTGGCTACCTACACATATACTTCAATCCCTTCTGGGTAGATTGTGCCCTCTTCTCATTCACATGCTGAAGTTGTCCTCTCCCTTAACACTAGGCCAGAGGCATTGATGGGTAGCAGATTTCTTTAGTCACCAACTATGACCTTCCCACCAAAGGGGAAAACTATATCCACAGAATTGGTCGTGGTGGATGACTTGGCTGTGAGGGTGTGGCCATTAACATGGTGACAGAAGATGAACTCTTCAAGACATTGACACCTTCTACAACACCTCCATTGAGGAGATGCCCCTCAGTGTTGCTGACCTCATCTGAGGGGCTGCCCTGCTATCTAGCCCTACCCAGGGTTCAGTCCACGGGAGGCTGAAAAGAAGCAGGAGTGGGGAGGGAAGGGAGCCATGGGATGGACATCTTGTCATTATTTTTTCTTTGAATAAATGTACTTTTTGAGGCAAAAGAACAAAAATAAATGGGACATTACAGGTATTTTTCAGCAAGTTGTTTTCACTTAACAGTATGTCTTAGAAATCTCTCCAACTTGGAAACTATGGACCTACTTTAGTCTCTTTAACTGCTTCACAACTGCATAGATAGATTGTAACTGATTTAACTGTTTTCCCATTAATGGGCATAAAGTTAATTTTAGTTTTCTATGATTACAATGTGTTTTATAATTTGATTATGAACAAACTTCAGTGGAAAACTTTTGGTCTTCAGTTCAATGAAGACATTAGATTTTTTAAAAGACAAACACTAGCTTGTTGATGATATTAATGAGGCAAACCCAGTCTAACCTTCAAAAAGGCACAATTTTGATATCACTCAATTTTTTTTTTATTATAGGAATGAGGAAATGGCCAGGCTGTACTCATTTATTCTCAAAGCATGTACACCATCAGTATGCCTATAATTCTAACAGATTTTATAAAAGGCAGTTGTTCAGAACATTGACAAACACAAAAGGGGTCAAAGATACGATCCTTACCTCCCTATAGTTTTTTTGAAAAAAAAACTGAAAAAATTTTTTTCAAATTTTTCAAAAAATTGAAAACTACCACAGAGATAGTTTTCAAAGCTCTCTTCTACGGCACTACCAACCAAATCTGGCTATGGCTTTCCACAGATACCCCAACAAGAGATTTCAGCTTTTGCACATGTCTAAAATCTCAAAAACAAAAAACCACCCTACAATGCAACCACAAATACTTTAAATTCATCTTTACATCACTCAAACATTTGTAATGTGGTTGGTAGGAGTGGGAAACAAGCAGGTTGAGGCAGAAGTGTAGTTTTTTTTGATCATACCAATCTTTGTATATACTACAAAGTGATCACCACAATAAGTCTAGTTACCATCTGTCACCATACAATTGACCCCCTTTACCCATTTCACTCATCTCCCACCACCCTCCTTTCTAATAACCAACTACTAATCTGCTCTATAAGTTTTGTTTTGCTTTTGTTCACTTGTTTTTTACATTTCATGAGTAAGTGAAATCATATACTATTTATCTTTCTCTCTTTGACTTATTTCACTTAGCATAATACATTCAAGTTCCATCCAGATTGTTGCAAATGTCAGCATTTCCTTTTTGATGGCTGAGTAGTAGTCTACTGTGTATGTATGTATGTATGTATGTATGTATATATGATGTATGATATATATATATATCACATCTTCTTTATCCATTTGTCCATTAATGGACATTTAGATTGTTTCCATATCTTGGCTATTATAAATAATGCTGCAATGAACTTCTGGGTGCATATATCTTTTGAAATTAGTGTTTACATTTTCTTCATATAAATACCCAGAAGTGGTATACCAGGATCATATGGTAGTTCTACTTTTATTTTTTGAGGAACCTCCGTATTGTTTTCCATACTGGCTGCACCAATTTACATTCCCAGAAACAGTGCATGAAGGTTCTTTTTCTCCAGATCTTCTCTAACACTCATTACTTTTTGTCTTTTTGATAATGGCCATTCTAACAGGTATGAGGTGATATCTCATTGTGATTTTAATTTGAATTTCCCTGGCAATTAGTGATGTTGAACTTCTTCTCCTGTACCTGTTGGCCATCTGTATCTCTTCTTTGGAAAAATGTCTATTTAAATCCTCTGCCCATTTTTAAGTCAAATTGCTTGGGGTTTTTTTTTTTTTTCTTTTTTTGCTATTGAGTTGAATTCTTTATATATTTTGGATATTATTGGATATGTGTTTTGCAAACATTTTCTCCCATTCAGTAGACAGCCCTTTCATCTTCTTGATGGTTTCCTTTGCTGTACAGAAGCTTCTTAGTTTGAGGCAGTCCCACTTGTTTATTTTTGCTTTTGTTGCCTTTGGTTTTGGTGTCAGATCCAAAAACTTAATGCCAAGACCAATGACAAGAAGCTTACTACCAATGTTTTCTTCAATGATTTCAGGTCTTACATTCAAGTCTTTAACCCATTTTGAGTTAATTTTTGTGTATGGTGTAATATAGTCTAGTTTCATTCTTTTGCATGTGACTGTCCAGTTTTCCCAACACCATTTATTGTATAATTTTAAACAATTAGCCGCAGGCTTACAAGATAGATCTTTTTGATTTTGGCCCTTTTGGCAATTCCCTGAAGTAGAACTTGTCTATTTCAAGAATTAAAAGTTCCACTGTCATTAGTGACTGAAACATAAAAGCCATATAATAATACTGATACTTGGTATTTATTTATATAATGGTGATTTTTATTTCTAAAGAGTTAAGAAGTCATGAGCTAAACTGTAGGATGAAAGAAAAAGCATTTCAAATAAAAAATGTATAGACAATATAAAACATCTAATAAAACAACATATTTTAAAAATTAAACATCTTATTAAAATAAATTGCTATGTGAAATAAAATTAAAATTTTCAAAAATAAAATTAAACTATAGAAAAATAGAATTAAATAATGAAAATTATTTTATCTTCTTACATAAATTATTTAAAAATTTTCAGATATACAGAAAAGGTGCAAAAGTAATACATCAAAATCCCCTATCTTTTCCCCAGACTCACCCACTGTTAACATTTAACATGTGCATTTTTTCTCTTTCTGTGTATAGGAATACATAAAATACATACAATATACATTCTTATTCTTTTCTTCTTTTTACTGAACCATTTGAGAGTATGTTTTAAACATCATGACTCTTTAGCAATAAATACTTGTGTATTTTCCTAAAAAGACAAACTCATATAATCAGCTTATTTTTCAAAATTAAAAAATACAGTATTGCTAAAATATTATTTAATATATAGTCCATTCAAATTTGCCAATTGTTCCAATATTGTCTTTGATAGAAATTTTTCCTCCCAACTCCAGGTTCATACCTTGTATTTACTTGGTGTGGATAGGTGCATGAAGACCACCACAGCACAATAAATATCATTGAAAAGGCTCACAGAGCTAAATTTTTTAAATGAACAGAAATAAGTATTCTAGGCTGACTTGATAATGAAGGGGTGTGCTTACTGAGTACTTATCATGCCAGGCACTACTCTAAGTAATAACTAATTAAACCTCACAATGATCCCATGAGGAGTTTATTATTCCTATCCTCATTTTATAAATAAAGAAAAAAAGGTGAGAGGTTAAGTAACTTGCCAACTAAGGTCACATAATTAGTAAGTGTTAAAGTAAGGATTGGGACCCAGCCTGTCTGGCTTGAGTAATTCTCTTATTATCCATGATACAGTGTAGACCACATACCAAAGGCTGAGACAGGATAAAGCAAGTGAGGCACTAATTTTGAGTGCAAAATTTAAGGTGGCACCAAAAAAATTCATCAGTGATCAAACAAATATTTTAAAATTAGAATTAAGGGCGCCTGGGTGGCTCAGTTGGTTAAGCAACTGCCTTCGGCTCAGGTCATGATCCTGGAGTCCCGGGATCGAGTCCCGCATTGGGCTCCCTGCTCAGCAGGGAGTCTGCTTCTCCCTCTGACCCTCTTCCCTCGCGTGCTCTCTATCTCTCATTCTCTCTCTCTCAAATAAATAAATAAAATCTTTAAAAAAAAAGAAAAAAATAAAATTAGAATACAAAAATTCCGTGAACAAAATATCAAAATTTTAAATAAAGACCATTTGAGTTACTGATTTTTCCTTTTTGCCTAAGGCTCCTTATGTGACTTGACACTGTTAGTGGTCCTGTTTTTATTTAAAATCTTGTGCTCACATATCTCACTCCCCTATACCCTGCTGTATCCCTAAATAAAATCCAAACCAAATTTTTCCTTTATGTTAAATCTTGAGCTCCAATCAATGATTAATTTGATCATAGTAATAATTACTGATGATTCACTGATACTATCTTTCTGAAACAAAGACAAAAGCGTTCTATATTGAATGCATATTAATGTATATAATGAATATTGAACATTCAAAGCATTCACATGTCAAGGATGAAAACAGACAACCGTTTTTGGCAAAAGAAAAGTGTATGCTTAGCCTTATGCATTTAACAAATGTTTATTGAGCACCCACTATAAGCCATGTCTAAATAAGGTCATCCAGCTAGAAAGTGACAGAACTAGATCCAAACCCAATTGTCTGACTAAAAAAAACCCATATGCTATTATTATAATAAGACAATTCAAATTTCTACAAAGACTCCAAAGCAACCTAGAAAACATAAGTGGGAAAGTGAAAATATAAAACTGCTTACCAGATTAAAACTATGTAAAAATATTTTTACATGTGGACAAAGAGTAAAAGGAAATCATATGTTAATTGCAGTTGATGATAACATGCTTGAAAAATTATATAACACAATAAAAGGTATAGTAAGAAATCAGTTTAATTAAGTGTCACACATATATTTTTCACTGTGTAAAACGAGCAGAAAAGAATTCTATGTATAGTATGCTTAACAGTGAGATTGAAGACTTACAAGAAAGACTTTAGTTATGATTAATTTGAGCTCTCACATCCTATGAGGTCAATGGTTGGTTACCACCAATACTCCAAAACAACAAAATGCTATCATTAAACATGACCTATCCAAATGCATAATTGGAATTAAAGTTGGAAGTCTATACCTATAATTCAACTAAAGGTCACAGCATGGTCACTGAATGTAAATGAAACAATTACACAGTTTTGCATTTTCTTAACCACATGTAGTGGCCATATACTTTCTTTATATTAATGGCTTTCACCTTACTTCCCTATTTAAGAATACCAAATTCTGATTCACAATCATTAATACAGAAACTTGGTTGCTGAAACATGAATTCCAATGATTTCTTAAAAGTCTTGGGTTTGAGAAGTAAAAAGAAATAAAACATCCAGGAGGGAGTTATCTAAATTGGAAATATTTTACAACAAACTGAATAGCAGTTTCACTAAACATTGAGCTTATTCAGTCACAATATGCAATCACATGGTCTGAGAAATAATAAGACATGTTCAACTTTTTTAAAAACGCAAAAATGTTAAAAAAAAAAAACCAGCAAATTAGCCATAATTCTAGATAAGGTACAAGGGTTAAATATCACTATTTTTCCAACTTCTAAGCTAGGTGGTGCCTAATATTTGGTTAGAAAAATCTACAAAACTACTACCAGGTTTTGTTAAATTACAGTTGATAGTAGTATGTATTTGCAACTTTAAGAAACAAAGCAGCATTTTAAAGGAAGTTAGTACTCACTTGATAATCATTTCTCTTAATATTTGGAACATCCATGTTGTGAGTAGAAGGGCAAATATCTTCATATTTTTTGCCAGTGAAAATGTCAATTCCAACGAGGTGAACCTAACAAAGAAGGGAGAACAGGAAACCTGTTTAATCTTTGCCAAGTATATCACTCATTATATACACAAGAGCACAATACCAAAGCTGATCATGACAGATTCTCTTTCCAAGGTCATCTAATTTTATTTTCTTAAAAAAAATGCAGTGGTCATAGAATTGAGAAGCAGTGAACAACTAAACAGTTTCATGACATATCAAGACCCAATATCATACACAGCCCAGTAATTCAATTATAAGAGTACATAAGAGAAATGAAGTTGTATTAGAACAGGTTTTCTCATCTGTAAACTGGATATTCCAAGTCACTAGGATTCAGGTAAGTTTCAATTACCAGCTAATGAAACATTATAAAGTCCCCAAAAGGAAATGCTACCTTTCAGTATTCAAAGCAATAGCTGGTCACCGCGAAATTGTGGTAAGAAAAAAATGTAATTATTACAAACAAAGTTATAAATATGGAAATCTCATGTTCCGTACTGGAATGCAAATGATCAAAATCCCAACGCAAAGAGAGATCTGGAAGGGCACTTACCTTGGCATGACCGTGCTTTCCAGTTTTGGAAGTTGACATCTCCACTATTTTGCATGGTCGTCCTTTGAGAACCACGAAGCCGTTTTTGCGCAGGGCCGAGCACTGCATAGGGTAAGTGCTGGAAGCCCCAGCATCTCCAGTAGTGAAATCAATTTCATCCGCCATGGTGGGCTGGGGAGATGGTAGCTTTTCCGAGGGAACTACGCAAAAAGTTTGTGTTTGCTTTTTAACAACGGGAACGCAGGCAGGGAAACATCACATTTCGAACAGGTTACGTACCAAGCATCATGGGATCAATAGATTTTTTTCATTTATAAAACACCCACCCAAGAATAGTGGGCACTTTCTAACTCCGGCCTCCTTATAAACTTTTCTAACCATTGGTGGGGAGGTGGGGAGATGGGGAGGGAAGTCGCAGATGAGCTCGCTGGGGGTGGGGGATATACCCGCCCTGGGCACTCACCCGCGCTGGAGGCAGCAAATCCTGACCCCCATTGTCCCACCGCAAGAAGAGCCGGCGACCTTCCCGCATCGCATCGCGCCGCGCCACCCGGCCCTTCGCCGCCGCCCTTATCCCACTGCGGGGTACCCAGCCCAGGCCGCACGTCCGCGTGAAGGATGGGGATAACGGGACTTGGCCAACAGCACCTGGCCCTCGGGCAGCGGGCTTGCACTCCGCCCTCCAGCCTGCGGCGCCGTCGCCCCGGCCTCTCAGGCGCCCCCTTGTCCTGCCGGCATCCCCGGCCCGGCCGGGCCCGGCCCCGCATGGGCCTGAGCCCTGGCGGGTCCCGCGCTCGCCTCCGTTCCCCCATCCATCCTTCCTCCTTCCCTCGTTCAGGACTCGGCTCTGGCCGCCTTCTCCCGCCGCCTTCTCCGGCCCTGCTTCGCTCCGGTCCCGGCCCCACCAGCTTTTCCCCTGTCTTTACCTTTCAGCAGGGGAAGAGATCCTCTCGCCTGCGCACCGGCGCCGGTTCCCTACAGCTGCGGCGGCGGCAGAGGTGGCGGCCCCGGCAGTTCCAAGAGACGGGGCGGGGCAGCCACACTTTCCACACCCCGGCCTCCCCGCCCTTTCCCGCCCCCACCTCAGCCCCACTTCCGGGATAGGTCCCGGCGCGTCACAGGCACCGCCCTCTCGGGCTACCATTGGTTACAAGGTTCCTGAGGCCCCGCCCAGTCACGTGAAGCGCGCCCTGGCAACCCCACGTGCTGCGGATTAGTGCATTTCCGGCGTGGAGAGCACTTTCTGGAGTCCGGTTGCTGAGGGTGAACTCAATGGTGAGGAAACTTGCTACCTCAAACTTTCGGGTTTCGTTGCACTCTGGTCCCAGTTGAAGTTAAAACGAGAACCAAACCACGCCCTTGGTGGCCCTTGCCTTCAGGTGCCTGGTGGTTGTCACGTGACTGTGGTCAGGACGCCCGAGGCAAGCTAATTCAATGGGTGTCCTGCGTGGTTACGGAGGGAACTTTGGGGTCGAACTTCTGGCCCAGGTTGGTGGTCGAAACCACACTTGTTCCTCGAGGAAGAGCCCAAGTGCAGTATTTTATTACCGGCTCAGCCCCACCGACTCACGGCACCCCAGACGTCCATGAGATTCTGGCAGTAACTGCCACTGGGTGTCTGAGCAGGGTCAGCAGTGCCCTCAGGGGTGGGAACTGCTGAGACATCCCGGAACCAAACAGCAGCGTGAAATGACCCAGTCCATTCCTCACACTAGGCTGTTGTGGAGTTGGAGGTGAATGGGTGTCCGACTCCTACCGCGTAATCCCGTCCAGAAACTGAGACCAGTCCAGTTCTGACAAACTTGGCTCTTCTTTCCTCTTGGCACTGGCATTCCTTTGAGTTTGAGGTATGTTCATAATCCATTAGAGCAGTTGGTTGTCTTCATAATCGACCAGGAGCCAATAGAGACTTGACTAGGATTAAGGACCAAAGTTCTTAAAAGAAATGTTCTCCTTTATGTTCCATTTCACAGTGCACTACATTCTACTTTGGAGAGGTGACCTACACTCCCCAGTTTATGTGTTCCTGTAATTTTGTATTGCTGTCTCATGAATAGTTAGTCCCCTTTCTCACATTACTATGTGGCTCTACCGTTTGCGCAGATATTTCACACATGTGGAATTTAACCTTTATAATAAGCAAGAGAACTCCCATAAACTGTATTCAGCCTGTAGCTAATATTTGAAAGTCAAATTAGAACCCTGGTTCATGAGTCCACTTTGCTTTTCCTTATACCACCTAATTTTCCCTAATTATTAGAATGATTGCTAGCATTTATGTGAGTGGTAGGGCATTAAATGTTTTATGTGCATTATTCCTTTAATCTTAACTGTTACTCTTTTTTTAACCCCAAGTTTATGAAGTTATAATTTATACAAAGTAAAATTTACCCTTTTTAGTTCTGTGAGTTTTAAAAAACATAGGCAGTTATGTAACTACCACAATAATCAAAGAATATTTGCCTCATTCCAAAAGTTTCCTCCTGCCTCTTTGTGGTCATCCCCTCCCCCCACACCCAGCCCCTGGCAACCATTAACAACTACTGTTTTATCTACATTTTTAATTGTGAGAAAAAAGCAGAGAAGAGTAATTTGCCCCAAATTACACAGCTGGCAAATCAGAGAGCCAAGATTGAACTCTAGGCAGTTTGGCTCCACAATCACTGCTTTAACTACCATCATTACTGCATTTGCATAAGATTTGGATTTGGAATCAAATGATCTGGCTTCATTCATTCAACAAATACAGTCAATTCTAGTGAAGTTGCTGGAATACTGAATCATCAAATACTGAACCATTGCTCCTAAGGGAAATGCAGAGTTAGGTTCCTGTGAGCCTCTGGTCACAACATTTTTGTCAACTGACCAATTTATAATTTTATGTGTGTTTTAGTTTAAGAACACCTTATTTAATATATATTGATTCATTAACATTTAACTCACAGCCAACAGCACTATAATTATGCCTGAGGGGAGCTTATCTAACACATGTATTTTCTCTGTAAGGCACATCACAGTCTTCTTGTGCTTAGAAACACTACACAGCATTTTAGCGCTATGCTTCAGGGCCATTTTAAATAGCCATGTCACCAACAGAAGTCACAAAAATGTGAGAAGTGGCACGAATAGACTGAAAAGAAACACTTGTTTAATTTGACAGCTATAATAAGAAGGCAGAACATCACCTCGTTTGACCTCAGCTAGGAAAATATGCATTGGATGGCTTCTATCTTTTGCTGTTCTGTGCTTGTCCATAAATGACTCTGAAAGCAGTGCTAGTACTGATTACAAGTAAATTGAATGCATAGGAAATTCACAAATATGAGGTCTATGAATAATGGGGAGTCACTGTTTTTATTTTAGTACCCTCAGCACTGAAATTACCATGTTGATCAAGACAGCCCCTTGTTCATTAGGTGCTTGCAGTCTACTACAGGATACAATTTACCAATTTTAACACAAAATAAATACTGCTAAAGAAAAAACTACAGGTTATTGAAAAAAGGGTCTCCTCCTCATCTAGTCTAGGTGTTGTCCAATTGAAATATAATGTAAGCCACACGTAATTTTGAGTTTTGTTGTAGCCACAATAAAAATGTTAAAAAAGAGATAAAAATAAATTTCAATAATATATTTTATTTAACCCAATATATCCAAAATATCTCCTATATAACCAATATAAAATTATTAATAAGATAATTTTATAATTTTTTAAACTGAGCCTTCAATGTCCTGTGTAGAGCACATCTCAATTCAGACTATTCATATTTTAAGTGCTCGGAAGGTATTTATGACTGGTGGCTATCACATTGGACATCACAGGTCTAAAAGATTTCAAGACTGCTTCTCTAGGAGTGAATATATTAATCTGACATGAGAAAAATGAGTAGAAGTTGGCAATGAGGAGGATTTTGGAAAGAGCATTTTAGGCAAAGGGATTGGGGGTATAAAGACTTATAGATGAGAAAATTGTGGCATCATGGTTAATATCTTAATGGTGAAAAACTGTAAGCTGTTCCTCTAAAATCAGGAACAAGACAAGGATACCCACTCTCACAACCTTTATTCAACATAGTATTGGAAGTCCTAACCAGAGAATTAGGTAAGAAAAGTAATAAACGGCATCCATATTGGAAAAGAAGCAAAATTATCTCTATTTACAGATGATATTATATTGCATATAGGAAACCCTAAGGTCTCTACCAAAAAACTGTTAGAATAAATGAATTCAGTAAAGTTGTAGGACACAAAATTAATATAGAAAAATAGTTGTGTTTCTGTACCCTAGCAATGAACTATCAGAGAAATTAAGAAAATGATCCATTTCTAATTGCATCACAATAATAAAATATTTAGCAATAAATTTAACCAAAGTGGTGAAAGACCTATACACTGATAACTATAAGATGTTGATGAAATTGAGGAAAACACAAATAAATGGAAATATTTCTGTGTTCATGGATTAGAAGAATGAGTATTATTAAAATGCCATACTACCCAAAGCAATGTACAAATTCAATGCAAATCCTATCAAAATTCCAATGGCATTTTTCACAAAAAGAGAAACTCCTTCAATTTGCATGGAATCATAAAAGACCCCAAGTAGCTAAAGTAATCTTGACAAGAACAAAGCTGGAGGCATCACACTTTTTGACTTCAAACTCTATCACAAAGCTATAGTAATCAAAACTCTATGGTATTGGCATAAAAACAGATACATAGATCAATGGACTAGAGAAGGTGCCAGCATAAACCCATGTCTATATGGCCAATTAATTTATAACAAAGGCATGAATATACAATGGGTAAAGGATAATCTTTTCAACAATTGGTATTGGAAAAACTGGGTGGCCACATGCAAAAAAATGAAACTGAACCCCTACCTTATACCACACAGAACATTAACTCAAAATGGATTAGAGATTTGAACATAAGACCCCAAACTGTTTCTATCTGCAACACACAGTTGGACCTCAAGGGCATTATTCTAAGTGATGTAAGCCAAATGGAGAAAGACAAATACTGCATTTACATTCTATTATGAGTGGAATCAAAAACTCATAGAAACAGAGTAGAATATTATTGCCAGGGGATCGGGGGGGTGGGGAAATAGGAAGAAGTTGGTAAAAGGGTACAAACTTTCACCTATAAGATAAATAAGGTCTAAGGATCTAATGTACAACATGTTGATTACAGTTGATAACACTGTATTGTATGAGAGTAGAACTTAAATGTTCTCACCAAAAGAAAAAAAAAACCCCAAAAACTAAGTATGAAAAATGATGGGTGTGTTAATTAATTAGAGGGAGGAATCATTTCAGCATGATGTGTATGTATATCATCTTATGATGTACAATTTAATTTTCTTACAATTTATTTGTCAATTATACCTCAATAAAGTTGAAAAAAAGAAGATAAACTATCTAATAATGTCCTACATTGGTTACATGTTGAAATGATATTTTGGATATGTTAGATTAAATATATGTCATCAATTTCAAAAGAATTAGACGGGGGCAAATAGGAACAAATAACAAAGAGATTTAATTTAACCATATCAATAATTACATTAATATAAATGGATTAAACATTCCAATTAAAAGGCAGAGATTATCAGACTGGAGAATCTCATACCCAGCTATATGCCGTCTATCAGATACAGTTTAAAAATAAAGATACATATAGGTTGAAAATAAAGGGATTTAAAAAAGATGCCAAACAGTAAGCATTAAAAAGTTGGAGTGGCTTTACTGATACCAGGTAATGTAGACCTCAAGACAAGAGTATTAGCAAAGGAAAAGAGACATTGCATAATAATAAAAGGATCAAATCATTAGGAAAATCTAATTTAAGTGTGTATATTAGTCATATGCTTGAAGCAAAAACTGACAGAACTAAATACATAGCCTAGTCTACAATCATAGTTGGGTATTTTAAAATACTTCTCTCAGAAATATATGAAAGAATAGACACAGCATCATTAAGAATGTATAACTGAACATCATAATCCAGCTTGAT